AAGAGAAAGAGGAGGGTTGGTCTTGCTGTTTCAGGGGCGGCACAGTTGGAGGAAATCCACCCATAAGTGGATCTTCGAAGTTTAAAACTGTTTAAGGGCCAACCATCAATGCAATGTGAACAACAGATCTAGTGCTCTGCTAAACTCTTGAGAGTGTGACATGGAAGGAAACTACCACATACAACTAGTGATGGGATTTTCCCCCACCTTAAACGTTTTTGGAACAAGGAAGATGTAAATTTTTTAAAAGGAGTAGTTTAAAAACCTTCTAGGTGTCGCATTTACAATGCAATTCATTGTTATAAAATACTGATAACAATTGTATATCTAACATACTTTACCAAGAGAAATACTTTACAGGGGTTTACATGGCACATTTATCTCCTCCACTCTATAAAGCACAATCTTGTTTAAGTGAAGAATTTTGTGTCTTCATTTGGAGGATTTCTTGTGATTAGAAAATCCTTTTTGCTAGAATCATGGTGGTTGAAAAATTGGGCTTAGTGTTCTGATTTTCCAAGTTTCCTTTGCACAGGCAAAAAATGTAGAGAGGAGGGGAAGAGGAAAACAGAAAGAGGAAATTTTTGTCCAAATAATGACAATGGAAAGGTGAACATTTTGCTAACTGAAACCAACCCAATAGTCTCATAGATAGTTTCTTGCATAAACACAGAACTTGACCCTTCTGGTCTTAAGGCTTAAACCTTACATTTGTTTTATCTGAGTTCCTTCCTCAGGAAATGACCTTCAGGTCTCTCAAAAAAAGTGACAAAGAATTGAAACTCACCAGATCATCACATTCAGACAATGAAATGGAAGACCCCTCATTCATCCTGATTGCTTCTCTGGCCCTCCCTAATTCCTGTTTTCTTACACATTGTTACATTTCTTCCCTACTATAGAAACCCCTAGGTTTAGGTTTAGTAGGTCAGGGAGATGGGTTTGAGACTGGGCTCCCATTGCCTTGGCCGCAGCACTGGATTAAAGACTTCTTTCTTGGCAATAATTGTCTCAGCACTTGGCTTTCTGCCGTGTGGCAAGCCGCAGGACCTAGGCCAAACCCCTGGTGTTCTGGTAACATAACCAGAAGCCTTTGCTTTGGTGGGTACACGTGGTTATTTTCCAGCAGAAAAATAGCCACGTGAGAAATAGGTGTTGTCTCAGAGAGGTCTATGAGATGGGGAGCAGGAAGGGTCTGGCGGGATGGGGCTGGTGTGCGAGGCACATTCCTGAGGATTCTTTATTGGGAGAGATTTCTGCCTTAGCAAGAAACACCCTAGAAGCTTCTTGCATGGGGCAGATGCTTGATTCTGTATGCAGTCTTCTAAATGGTGTGGGGTTTGCCAAACATGGTGCTTAGAATCTGGACTTGTATTTCTGTCTTTCTTTATCCCAACCTCTTGCTCTGTGGCCTCTTTCATTTGCTTCTTGAAATGTGTGGTCTCCGGTTCCCAGACTGCTGTTTTACTCTTCCTTGCGACTCTGCTTTGATGTACCATGGTGCCTGGCACATAGCACACCGTTATTAAGAACTTGTTGAATAAATGGCCCAATATGGCATTGACGTTTTCTTTGAAGTGCCTGTCTTCGTTTGTTCAGACTGCTGTAAAAAAATTACCATAGACTGGGTGGCTCACACAACAGAAATTTATTTAACACGGTCTGGAGTCTGGGAGGTCTGAGATCAGGGTGCCAGCATGGTCGGATTCTGCTGGGGGCCCTCTTCCTGGTTTGTAGACAATTTCAGACCTCACATGGGGAAAGCGAGAGGAAGCAAACATTCTGCTGCCTTTTCTTGTAAGGCACTAATGTCATTCATGAAGGCTCCACTTTAGTGACCTTATCACCTCCCAAAGGCCCAACTCCAAATACCATCACACTAGGTGCTCGGGCTTTAACATATGTATTTAGAGGGGATACAAACACACAATCCACAGCAGTGCCGAATAGTCTAGAGACCTCAGGGTCTTCAGAATCTCTCTGGTTTGCATCTGTCCTTGCCCAGTGAACCCTGCTGTGTATGTACCTTGTTTTGGTCAGATATTCCTTGTTTTTGTTTGTTTTGTTTTTTCTTTTATCTGTAGTGAACCACAGGAGATTTGGGGGCTGATTATATCTGACTGCTGGTAGCCCAGTACATGTGATTTCTGGTCCTCACTCTTCACTAGACCTGGGACCTAGGATGAGTCATTTCAACTTGCAGTATTTCAGCTTTCTCATCTACAAAATAGAAAGGTCCTAAATGTTTTATATGATTCTGGAGCTTCTAGTTCCAACATAAATTTCCCCTAAATCATTCCTTTCTTATTATAGTCATTGATTACTTAAATTCAGTGATGTTGAGATGGATGGCTGTGTTTCCTTTTTCTTTAACAATGACCACAATTGTATGTCATTATTATTTAGTAGGAAGCTTGAGGGGAGGAAGTATCCTTAGAATGTTTTGGATTTTTCTCTTACCTGTAAGCTGGCTTTCTTATTTTGCTCCAACAGTCCTTATGATTCTGGGAAAGAGGACAGGGCAGAAGCCCCTTTGGAAGGGAGGAGCATGACCCTGGGGAAGTGGCTCTGTCTGGCTTGTGGATTGTGGGAGAGAATAAGGTAGCAGCCAAACCCCGTCTGCTGCATTAACCTCACTCTGAGCGCAGACTTTTGAAAGCGGGAGTGGCATTGAATGGGATGGAAGCAAAGCTAAAAGTGAACAGGCCCTTTCCCTTGACCCAGTGGGCCTAGACCGACACCATCTTGCATGAGGTCCTGCCAGAAACATCCTACAGCCACATCAGAATAAATGGTATGGCAGGTGGGCGTATGTAGACAGACGAGGCGCAGAATTTATTGACCATGAGTCTGTTTTGACCTTGAGTATCTTGGAAGGTGTCTTGGAGTTCCCATGTAGCAGAGGAGAGACGGAGGGGCTGAGGTCAGAACCACTAGGTGAGGGTAAGCACCCAGGGGCCTTGCCATAGGGAGCATGGTGACCCTATCCACCAGGGCTGCAGAATAGATGAGAGAGCCAAAGCAAGGCCATGTCAGCAGCTGAGAAAGATGCCAGGCCCGACAGAGACAACATGGACCTTGAGATGCCAGGTGCAGGGTTCGGGAGCAGAGGTGAGCTGGGCCTGGCAGAGAGGACTCCATTGCTGCAAGGGCCAGCAGGGGCCCAGACAGCAGGGCCTATACTGACTGCCCACAGACCTGTGACCTGTGTCTCCCTCGCCCACCTGGGGACATGGTAACTCCATGTGTATCCCACCCACTGGGTGCCCTTGTGGCGGGACAAGCCAAAGAAGGAGCATACACTTGACATGACAGCTGCAGTGAGGAAGGAGGCAGTCGGAAGCCTTATGACACTGCTTTCCTGTGAATGGACATGTTGAAAAGGCCTTTTCCCTTCCCTTGCTGTCCAGTGGAGCTGATGGGGTGGGAGACTAAGGAAGGAAACATGAATAGTAGAAAATACGCAACACAGATGTGCTTTGCTCACTTGAGTGGAAGTGAGCACAATTTCAATCCAGCCACGGCAGCACCGTTAGAGGAGGCTGCCTGCCTTGCGTTTCCCACCTGGAAGGGAGCTCCTGCCTGCTCTCTCCACATCATTTCTCCGGCTGGTGGTCTGGGCCCCAAGATGACCTGGAAGGGAGAATATTGCCTCGTCTCCCCTGGGGCCAACAGTGCACAGAATGGATGGGCTTGGTGAAGGAGGCTATGAGCACTTGAGGCTAATACTGTGGCCTCTGTCCCGTATCTGATAAGGCCCTCCGTGTGCAGGAGTTGTTTACTGTTAAGGAGTTACACATGAAATAAGAGAAAGGAGTAGTCCCATGAATGCCATTTTCCATTTTGGACATACAGACGGTCCCTCAAATTCGCACTTCGATTTTCCTGAGTGGAAATGGCAAAGAGTGACAGGTCCATTATCAATCTACTAAAAAACTGACCTGGTGATCATGGGAGTCTTTCATGATGAATTTGATTCTATAGTCTCTTAGAATTGAAGTGAATTTGTTTTTTTAAAAATCCCAGAATATAATTAATAAAAATGGTAAATGTCTTCTCATTCCCCTTCATAAGTGTGATGCCAGGAAAGGACATTTGCAATCTCAGGCTGGGGAAAGACACTGTCATGGGAGAGGGAGAATGCTGGGCAGGAACGGGATGGGGAGGAGGAGGGAGGGCAATGGTGTTAGTAAAATTCCCCTGCATGGGAATAATGTACTTGGCACAGCCTGGTGTTCTCATAATAAAAAGAATAACTATCATTCTGCTTTCCCCATGAGGCAAAACAGATGCTGTCTCTATGACGAAGTGCTCACTCTTGAGTGGAACAGCCATTTCCACAGCCGAATGTCTCAACAGCAAACTGAAATTCCCGGGCCAGATTCCCCACTCTGTGCAGCACACCCCTGAAGCAGGTGGAGACTGTGCTCACCTCACAGTGGCAGCTGGAATGTGAGCGTGCTTGGAGGGTGGTGGTTGCAGAGGGAGGGAGGAAGGGAGAGAAAGAAGGAGACTGAGAAAGAGAGAAAAACAGAGAAGGAGGGGGAGAGAGAGAGAGAGAGGGAGAGACAGCAGGAGAAGGGGGGGCAGCCAGAGAAGCAAGTGCTATAGCGTGCACGTGCGCGCGTGCGCACACACACACACACACACACACACACGCAGAGAGAGAAAGGCAGAGAGAGAGAGAGGGAGCCTCCGAGACAGAGGGGCAGGGAGAGAGGGAGAGACAGCAGAGAGGTGGGGCAGAGAAGCACACACACAGAGGCAGAGAGAGAGAAAGAGGGAGAGAGATAGAGAGAGAAAGGCAGACACAGACACAGAGAGAGAGGGAGAGACAGTGCAGGGGGGAACAGAGAAGCACAAACATGCACACAGAGGCAGAGAGAAAGACAGAGAGGAAGAGACGGGAGGAGAGAGAGAGGGAGAAGCAGAGGGAAAGAGAGGCAGAGACAGGGGAGAAAGAGAGGGAGAGGCAGAGGGAGAGAGAGGGAGAGAGAGGGAGAAAGCGGGGAGAGGCAAGGAGAGAGGGAGAGGAGAGAGAGAGGGAGAGACAGTGGCGGGGCAGAGAACCACAGACATACACAAAGGCAGAGAGAGATGGGGGTAGGGTGGGGGAGAGTGGTGGAGAGTCAGGGAGAGAGAGAATTGGTCTCCCCATCCTGCCCTCACTGACCTCCTGCCAGGGTGCATGGGACAAGCAAGGGAGCCACCATAGTGAGAGTAGAGAACTCTCCTAATAATCTCGATTGAGAACAAAAAAGAGGTCCTGTACTTGTGGAAGGATGACTTGGATACAAAGAAGGAAGCGGCCACCTCTGCAGGGGTCTCAGGGCTGTATGCGACCTGGGCACTTACCTGCCCGCCAGACACACTGAGGCCCGCAGTGGACATGCAGGGGAGAGGGAAAGGGGGTCCAACCTGGGGAGCCCACGTGGTAGTCAGGGAAGGGGTGACATCGAATTGTGCTTTCGAGCTCACAAAGCCCTTTATTGAGCTCCACTGCATTTGTTCTTCACACGCACCCTGCGTGATGTTGCCAGGGTTTTAGCGTCTCCTAGCTTACCCAGTTAACCCGACTTGGAAGTGGCAGAGACGGACTCAACTGAAGCCTGCTAACTCTCATTTGAGCCCCTTTCTACCACATGCTGCCTCTTATGGCACAGACCCCAGCACGCCCAGGTGGAGATCTGCTGGAGTTTATGAGCCTGGGTACCCTGGGAAAAGATGTGGATGGGATTGGGTGAATGGAGGTGCAAGTAGTTCCTCTGTCTGGGCAGCAGTCACTACTTGGACACCACAAACACTTCCCTGCAGCTGAGCACCAGGCTCTTTAGAGCATAACATTTCCGGGGAAAATGGGAAAACTTGCAAAATGCAGTCTGTTGTTTCTGCGGGTCCATGAGAATGTTTGTCTGCTTCCTTCTTTTTGTGCGTTTATGCACAAGCAGAGGCAAATCTGAAGTGATGCTTGCAGCAAGGCCTTCTCTACAATGGCGAGGAGGCGCTCCAACTCCCTTTCCCTTCCCCTTGCTTTCTGAGGCCCCTGTTTTACTTGTCATGAAGGTGGATTCGAGGCACTCAGATGTAGGTAGGGCACAAACAAGCTGCTAAGAGAGCTGACATCCACGTGATGACGACCCCTTCCTTCTCCATGGCAATGTAAGTGCTTCCAGTGATTCTATGCATTATGATCATTTTTCGATTTAAAGGAGATTTCCATCTACCTTTCCTGGTCCATTTCTTCTTCCAAGGAGAACAAATATCAGAAAAATAAAAAGAAATCAAACAGCACAAGTATTTAACGCGAGTCTGGCTGCTCCTGGCCAATCCGCCCACCTTTTAAAGGACAGAGGTGAGGGGCCAAATCTTCCTTGGATAAGTGCCTCTGCTAGAGTCACAGACTGGCTCAGCGATCTTAGCACTTAGCCTTTCAGTTACCCAGTTTCCATATCTGTGCAATGTGGACACAAATATACCTATCCTGTGGGGTGGTAGGGAGGATTAAACCAAACATGCACATCCCAGGTGGAACGCAGTGCCAGGCACACAGTGCACACTCAGGTATGGTTTGCTGGATCCTCAGCCGCAGCACATGTGTTCCAGACCCATTTGCTACCACAGGTGTACTTGTGTCACAGGAAAAGGGAAAGGCAAAAGCCATGCACTTGAGGCACATGAGCTCCACGAAGCTCAGAAACTTTCTCTGGGGACAGAGGGAGGTGAATTTGCTAGGGGCCCCGCCTCACGCCTCCTCCTATCCTCACGGTAACAAATGCTTCAAATAGCATCACCTGTCAGAGTGTGTTCAGTTTCTAGATTGTCAGGCAAAACCTCAATTAAAAAGAGAAAAAAAACCACCAGGAAACTTAGTTTAGATCATGTCACATGGCCAAGAATATGTCAGTTCTGGAGGAAACTTGTTTGTCAGAAGGTAAGATATTCATGGCACCCCACAGAGCCGAATTTCCAGGGTGGCAATATTTTGTCCAGGGGTTAGTTTCTCTTCTAATGAAGGCTGTCACACTGCAATGCTCTGGAGGATGTGCAGACTGGAGGAGCCCAGCCCTGTGCATGACACCCTCCAACAACAAGGAGATTGCATCCTACAACTGTCAGGAAAATAGATTTGCTGCTGAGCACTTGTCTTGGTGCAGTTTATTAGACTGCATCGGTCGTCTTAGGCTGCTTTGTCCTCAACACAAGACTTCAGACGAGGAAGGGCATGTGAGATGAAAACACAAAGGGAGAATACACAAAAGGTAGAGGCTCATCTTCACCAAGGAAGGATAGGTGGGTTGCCTAGGTGATGATGGGGAGCACAGAAAAGGTGCCCATGCAGTCCCTGGTGTCCTGGGGACACAACAGTGCAGGCTCTCCTTTTGAAAGTGGTTTTGAGGTGACTACCGTGTGCTGCCATTTCCATTCTTGTCCTGTAAGAGAGGCAGGAGTGTGTCAGTGGGATTGTCTCTGTGCCCAGTGGGACTCAGTGACAGCAGCCAGCTGAGGTAGCAAATGCAGCAGCGTGGCGGATCTGACTGCAAAGTCTTTGCCAGGCTCAGGCTTGCTTGGGCCATTGAAGGATTCTGTGTGTTTTCTCCTCTGGCCTCAGATGTGTTAAGCATTCCTCCAGTATGCCCACCCTCTGAGGCCAGAGATTGGAGGTCATCAGGCTGTCAGCTGGCCGAGTGGAAGTCCCTTCTGACCTTGAAAAGCCAGCAAACTGCTATCCACAGTCTGAGAAGTAGCCACACTCACATGTTGCCCATGCCTTGATGAAATACCTACCCAACTTTGAGGCCTTCCCCATGTGCCTTTAACCCTCCTGTACCAGGGATTTTCAAGTAGCTGTTTCTTTTCTTTGGAAATTTTCTCTTTCTCTGTCTAGACACATTCTTCAAAGTCTAGACAGAGACCCAACTCCTCCAGGAAGCCTGTGTGCATGATGCCAGTCTCTGATAGTTTTTCCTTCTTCTCATTACCTGCATTTTCTGTACAAATTTACCACAGACTTGCCTGTATCATGGTTACCTTAGAAATAATGTTGATCTTGTTTTACATTTTCTTTCATTTCTAAAAGGCAAGCATTGTACTTAATACTTCTTTGAATGTCTGCAGACCAGCACATAAAAAGAGCTCAATGTCGCTTTTTAAAATGGCCTTTCTGTGATTCTGGGAGAACCTGGTTTACACCGTGGACTATCAGGGGTGTGTGTGTGTGTGTGTGTGTGTGTGTGTTGATGACAGCCATCCTGCTGGAGGTCTCAGGAAGTGGGAGTAGGCAACTGTGAGATTAGACAAATCTGGAATATCCACAGCATTGTCCCCTTTAATACATACCAAATGTGAACTGCAGTGGCCAAGAGTGACTTGTTTCAAAGGCTCCTTTCTTTCCCCTGCCAGCCCATGAGTATTAGGAAAGGAGAGTTGCCTAATTGATCTCTGCAGCCACAGGACCCAGCCCAAAGCCCTGCCCTCAGTAAGTACTCATACATTTGTAGGAAACATTGTTCTCTCCTCTCCCCATCATCCCAGGTTGGCCCATGCTAATAAAAAAGAAGTCCCTCCCTTCCTTTCCTCGCCCCGCACTCATCATCCCCAAGGGAGGGGAGCATAGGGTCGGATGTGAAACTGCGGGAAGGAGCTGGAACTGGATGGCTCCTATCACTGGGGTGGTCTCTTTTCCAGAACAGCCTATCCAGGGCCATACACTTCCTTCTTCCCTCCCTATGGAGAGGTCTGCAATGGTCTGTCTGTCAGCCCATGGGAAAGGGCAATTGGAGGGGAGGATGTAAATGCTCTATTATGTCCCCAGACGCAAAATGTTTCCAGTTCTGCTTCACTCACAACAAACCTGATGTTTTTGTCTCTTTCTGGATTCTTTCTGAACTCTGAGTAGGAAGAGGAGCCATCATTAACTATCACTACCACATCTCACTAAAGCGAAATATCTTGAAATAATATATCTTGAAAAATGAATGCTGGGCCTGCCTTACTGTCTGTATGTGTCACTCTTGGAGGCCAGTCTCTCACTTCACCTCCAGGCAAGGGTTCAGTGTTGGTGTGAACCATGGCAGGACTGATGCCTCTGGATTTCAGAAAGAAGAAGAAAGCAACAGACTTTTCTGAGCATTTCTTTTTGCCCTGAGCTGGCCTCTACTATCTGGGAGACCGTATATTTGCAAGAGGTCCTATGTAATGGCTTTGAGGATTTGGGGGAAGGTGGGTGAGGAGAAGCCTAATGTGAACTCAGATATGCAGGTCTCCTAAGGTATGGAAGGAGAGTTTATGTATTCACCATGCCTTTTCTTTTCTTCATACTTTGATGGTATGAAGTGTGAAGTGGGTAGCTAATTCCCAGAGATCACACACAACTCCTCTGAGAGCTTGCCTTTCATATGCAAAACAACCAATCCACAGCCTACTCCCACCACCTCCTCTATGGGCCAGTGTTCCCTTCCCTAATCACCCGAGGACAGGGACCAGACAGCTGAGGACAGCCCCTAAGGCCTGAGAGCCCTGAAATGATTCAAACCAGCCAGTCCTAAGCCTGCGTATCCTGCCTTGCCTGTGTTCCCCATAGAAACCACAGTAAAGGCTCTTACTCATGCTTTGGTCCCGCACCCACCTCCAGACTGACCCTGACGCTTCCCTCTATGCACTGCCCCCATATAGTGCACCCCGTCCTCTTGGGACATGTGAGTAATGAACATTACTCTTCAGCGGCACTTGTCTCCTAATCTGTTGGCCTTGCCAGACCTCAATGATAAAAAAGCTTATATTTTAAAAGTTTAGAATTACTGAACTTGAAAGAGAGTTATGAATAGAAGAAGAATAATATCTCCATCTCTCATTGGAAACTCACTTTGTGCCAGTCGTTGCTGTAAGTTTATTCACTGCATTAGTTCATTCAGTCTTCACACTTTCTCCTGTCCACTGATGTATTTTTCAAATCAGGAAAATGACTGGGATCAGAGGAGATAAATAAACCTTCCAAGGTGACACATCCAGGGAGTGGACAAGCAGACACAGAAGACAGCACACATTTGCTGAAAGGAAAGAAAATGGTGGAAATGGCTGTGGGCTGGCTTCAAAGTGAAGGATTTTGTGTTTGTGAGAACTGGAAATCACTGTTGCCTGCATGAAGTTGCAGCAGATAAGCCATCTGGCCTTTGCACATGAAAGACCTCTGTCCCTGGTTATTTATTTATTTTTTAATTAGTTAATTAATTAATTAATTTTCAGACAGAGTCTCATTTTGTTGCCAGGCTAGAGTGCAGTGGGATGATCTTAGCTCACTGCAACCTCTGCCTTCCTGATTCAAGTGATTCTCCTGCCTCAGCTTCCAGAGTAGTTGGGACTACAGGGGTGCACCACCACGCACAGCTAATTTTTTTTGTATTTTTAGTAGAGACGGGGTTTCATCATGCTGGCCAGGCTGGTCTGGATCTCCTGACCTCGTGATTCACCCACCTCGGCCTCCCGAAGTGCTGGGATTACGGGTGTGAGTCACTGCACCTGGCCCTGTCCCTGGTTTTTTAATAACTGGTGATGAAAACTGATGGGTTGGCTAGACACCCATGAAGAGTCTTCTGCTTATCAGCTGAAGACAGGGCCAGGCCTCACAAATCCCTGCCGCTCACAGGCTCCTGTTCTCACGCTCCAGGTAGCTCAGAGACCGCTGGAAGTCTGAATCACATCAAGCCATTGCCTGAGCCACAGTTCCTCATGGCCTCACTGGGCTTCTGTTGCTTAAAGTCCCCAGGGAGTGCTTTGTGGAAACCATAAATCCATTTTACAGTTGAACATCAACTGTAATGCCTTCTACTCAAAGGAAGCCAAGAATTAAATTTCAGAAAAAGTGAACGCCACAAACTCCAGCTGTTTACATCACATCAAAAGAAGTTGAAAATTCAAGTTCAGTTGCTGCCTGTCTTCCTGTGTTTTTCAATTTTGCTGTAAGAGAGATTCACAAAGGTGGTGTTTCTTTCTTTCTTTTCTTTTTCTTTTTTTTTTTTTTTTTTTTTTTTTTTTTTTTTTTTTTTTTTTTGCCAGATTCTTTGTAACTTAAAACTGATTGACATTGGTCTGATGCATGTGTGTGGTGTAGACAGTCCAGGAATTTCAAGTCCATGTGGGCAAGGCACCATATTTCAAAAGACAACCTAGAGGGGAAGTGTTAGTGCCTCAAAATTCAGTGTGAGTTGAGCATCAAAATCACCTGGCAGGCTCTATGAATGTGACCTCAACTAATGGCCCTTTGACACTACCTGCTGGAGCTCGCCAGGTTTGCCCATCTCACTTATTAAACACTTGCTCCTTCAGAAAATCCTACTTTAGCTTTTGTTTAGCTGGGAAGTTCAAAGACAGATCTTTCCTTCCAAAAAACATATTTGAGGCCGGCAGGGTCTGGACAAGAGGATGCTTTAAATAGCTCTTACTATTTTCCCCCATTAACTGGGCCACCCCACCAAGGATGTACATCTTTAAATTCTTCCAGAGAATTCAGATGTCAGCACCAGCAGAACACAAAGAATGAATGGTTACTACCGGTGTGTTATGGAGGAGGAATCAGCACTCTGGGCGACAGCGCACGGATTTTCTATTTTTGTATTTTGTTTGTTTGTTTGTTTCCAGTCGGAGTCTTGCTCTCTTGCCCAGGCTGGAGTGCAGTGGTGCAATCTCGGCTCACTGCAACCTTCTCCCAGGTTCAAGCAGTTCTGCTTCAGCTTCCCAAGTAGCTGGGATTATAGGTGCGTGCCACCACAGCCAACTAATTTTTGTATTTTTAGTAGAGCCAGAGTTTCACCATGTTGGCCAGGCTGGTCTTGAACTCCTGACCTCGTGATCCACCCGCCTTGGCCTCCCAAAGTGCTGGGATTACAGGTGTGAGCCACCACACCCAGCCAGATAACTGTTTTTGGAGTTGGTCATCATTTGGTTAAGGTGTACAATTTTGCCATTTTGGTAGATTGAAAATGGTAAAATTTTAGCAGTTTCATACAGTTCAACTCCATTCTACACATTTTTCCCATCTTACTGTTATCTGGAGTGAGGGTGACCCACCAACCTGGTTTGTTTAGGGCTGGTCCACTTATGGCATTGAAATCCCACATCCAGGGAGGCCTTTCTGTCTTTGGCAGACTGGAGTGGTGGGTCACAGCTGGGAGACCAGGTTCAAACTCTTCAGCTTGGGGTATGGGGCATCTTGCCTGCGTCCTCTGCTCCATTAAGGTGTCATTGATAAGGGCAAACATAATTATAGTCACCAAATGCCATTGTACGTGACCTCATTACTCCTCAGAACAGTCCTCTGAGGCTTACAGAAGTTAGGTAGCCTCTGCAAGACCTCACCTATATTGGGGCTGAAGCTGTCCATAACTCCTGAACCTCAGCATTCTGCTGTGTGCCAGACACTCTGCTGGGCCCTGGGATTAAGAAGACAGGCCAGGCTTTTGACACTGAAAATGGAAAAATGTTAAACAGCTAGTCGTTGGATAGCATTCCTTTGAAAATGTGGTACTCCCTCCTGGATTTGAGGACACAGAAGTAGTTTGGTGACACTGCACTCCCTGTGAAGCCTTGGAGGCAGGGCGTGGCTCCCAGACTCTGCAGTGTGTGGGGAGCGGTCAGGTAAGGCCAGTGCCTGATAGAACAGTCAGGAATCCCACACCTGACTGTTCTGTTTGGACACGTGGATTAATTTTTGGGTTTTCTCCCTGTGGATTATTGCTCTTACGAATAGCTTTTAAAATGGGGATTATTGGTACCTAATATACTGAAAAATAAAACTTACCAGAGCACTAGACAGTTCTTTCAAAGACAGCTGTTGGCCTCCCGACTTGATCAACTGTATTCCTCAAATGGGGGTGCTGTGGTTTCCCCAAGGAGATGAGAAACCACAGCACAAACAAAGAACATCTTGGTGGAGAGCTGATTGTATTTGAAGATCTGGGGAGTTTTTCTCCATTGAAAAACAAAATAAAACAAAACAGACTCACATAAGAGGAAGGTTGGAAAAATCTTATGAATTTCTAATGTAAAATATGCAGAATTAATGCTTTTGAAGTTACTTCAGCTCTACTCCTAAGCTCTCAGGTCACAGAGTTAAATTTTGAAGTGAACGGAACCAGACTTCAGTAATAAACCATGGAGAGCTGAGCTTACACGTCATTCAATTATCCTCTGAACTTGATTTTTTTTCTTTTGTCATGTAGGTCACCAATAATGTGGAATCCATTTCGTGGAGACAAGCTACTTTTAATCAAAAATTGTAAGACATGGTGAGTACTCAAGCATATGACTATAATTTTCTGAATAGACTTTAGATACCAGATTTTGAAAGCATTTCAAAATGTCTACATCGTAGCAGAAGCTTGGATTAAGCTATTTTATATTTCATAGTCACCGTGGTTTGGTCTCTAAAATTATGTACATTGTCATTGAATAAAATTCTTCTTAAACAACTAGAACACTTGGTTGATTTTAAATGACTAATTATTGTTATATTATGTGAGAGCACATAAGGTATGTTCTGCTTTACAAGTAAAGCCTGGCAATGTTTCCCATGGTTTGCAATTCAAATTGGATGGCTCTGAGTCATTTAAAAGCAGGTGAGCAGCAGATATAAAACAGTTTTTTGAAAGGGGCTATTTGTTTCTCCTATCTTGGCTTTGCTGAAAAGAATTATTTAAGGCTGACAGAGGAATGAGGATGAAGCAGGAGTTGGGCTGTTTTGTTCACTAGTTCAGTTAGCCTAGTCATTAGCTTAGCATTTTGAAGCTTCAGTGTTAGAATCTATAGCCGTTCCCCTAAGAACAAAGTAAAATGTGATTTCCAAGTCCAAAATAATGAAAAAGTTTCAATGATATTGAACAGGCTATGTGGAGGAGAGCAGAGGAAATCAGCAAGCTCCTGCCTCCTCACGGCTGTCTTGGGGAGAATGTTGAGTGGATTGATGTTTTTATACATATTAGACTGTTTTGATGAGATGGCCTTGCCAAGTAGGTGTTTGTTTTGTTTCTTTTCTTCCTTCTGTGTAAAGATGTTTAATTACTTGAGCCATCCTCTAGTTCCTATGGTTTTGTCATTGTTCTCTTAGGAAAGAGAAAGGTAACAGGAAATATGCACTCTTTACCCTTTCTTCGTTCTCAGGGGGCATTGTGATGTTACCTTGAGTTCTGTATTGAGTTTTCAGTGACAGTGTTATGAGACGTGTGAGTAAGCATTTAACAATGACCAAGAAGTAGTCAGATTCAAACCCAGCAATACAGAATTCTCATTTTAATTTCAAGTTATGGATATTTGTCTTTGATTTTTATGGATTTTGCCATTTTTAAACAAACAAGGTTTCAATGTTTATCTTCTCCGTAAGAGATGGGAAGGCCTATGAACATTTTAGCAACCCAAAAGATGATTCCTCAGTTTTTTCCTCAGGGGAATGTTTTATATATAGGTAATCAGAGGAAATGTTTGTTTCCACGGGGAAGTATGGATAAAATATAAAATCAGTTTTTCACTGTCAACTAGGGATCACTAGGCAATATGTTAGTATAGAAATGTAAATGTGAAAAGGAAAAATGTGAAGCAGTATTATTTTTAAATATAAGTTTGCCACTTCTCTAACTCCCCCGCCGTAAAAAAGAGATTAGAGTTGACCAAGATAGCTGTAAACTTGAGTTCCTATTAATTTGCATATATATTCAGGAAGTTAGATTAAATTAACAAAGGAGGAGAGAAAGCAACTCTGGACCCGAAGCACAACTGCTATTGTGTTGATGCGGAAAATGACTGACTCATAGACTTTACGCAGAAGCTGCCATGATTCTTTGAGTTGTGTTAAGAAAAGACTCTGGAGCTCTGGAGAGTCTGGCTTTGAATCTAGGCTTGACCATTTATGGATTATGTGAATTTGAGCACGTTACTTAATATCTAGGCTCCGTTACCTTGTCTATAAAGTGGGCACCAACAATATACCTTGAAGTTTTTAAAAACATAGAACCAAATAAGTTAATATTTGTGTAACTCATGCTGCAGTTTCTGACAAAATAAAAATTCTTAAGTGTTTACCTTTTTAATTACTCTAACAAATATTTACCACTAATATTTGACATGTAATTAAAATTTTCAAAAATTTAGTTTTTTTCCTGGTGTTAAAATAAAATTATAGTGACAGTAATAAAAGGATTACAGGTAAGGATTATCCTTTGGTTAACTTTGGTTAATTTTAAGTGGTGTTAGTGTGATATGACTTTAGCATTACTCATTATTAGTTATTCTAAGCATCAGTTAGGAGAGAGAAATCATCCAGAAATTTGAACAGGAAAAGCTGAACATAAAGAATTATTAACTGTAACAGGGGATTGGAGTAAGGAGAGTATGGCTAATAAGAACTAGAGGGTTCTAAGGAATATTGGCATAGCAGCTGGAAGGAGCTGCCACTCCCCCAGGCCTGAGATGAACACCTGAAGAAGGGCTGGGCTGAGGGCCAGACCTCACTGGAAGGGCACAACCCTGTGTCACTGGATGGCAGACAGGTGACTGTGGTGAGGCACTGGCAGGACTTGATGGAAATCCACCCTCTGGAACTCACTGGAGATATTCCTTCTAAGGTGACAAGGGAAGCTGTTTGTGGGAATGTATTTCCCCGGAGGCACTGAGCCTTTGCCCCCAGTGCCCAAGAGAGACTGCAGGAGGTGGCTGTTGCGTGCCAGGCACCCCTGGCTGCCCTGCCCTGCAGGAGCCTGGGAGTATGGGTGAGCTGCCTGCCCTGCAGGAACCTGTCTAGAGCAGGAAGCAAAACACTCCTGCAGTATCTCACCAGTGGCCTTTACTGACGAAGCGTAACATCCTAACAGTTAGCAAAGCGAAAATATTCAAGTAGCTCAGAACCATTTTCACAGAGCAAGCAAAAAGGGTGAATTTGGAGCTGAGCATCAATAAGTGGCTAACTCTGCTAGCAGGAGAAACACTTTTCCAAAAATTTATGTGAAATATATATGGTAAAACTTATGAAAAGAGAGAATGGAAAGATACAAAGTACCTGAGAGCTTACCCCTGCTTACCCTGGTCAGTTACAGAGAACCTGAACTGCCTTGTTTTTGTCTTTTAGTGCATTTGTTTTTCTTGTAGTGAACTTGGAATGTAAAGCTTGAATTGGCAAACTCTACAAGAAGCAACATTATGAAATTTGGGTTTATGGTTATAAAAACATTATGAAAAACATTATTCATCATGCTACATAGAGTTTTCAAATGAGTACTCTGAAGAATTCTTTCTGGTTGCAGTTCTGATGAGCGATAGATCTTGTTTCTCTCAAGACATGAAACACAGCAGAGCAGTAGCTATCCCAAAGTTGAGCTCATCAGACACTAGTCAACACTGGATATTGACTTGTGCAACTGATGAGATTAGAAGGCAGTTTAAATAAGAAATTAATCAAAGGTGAAGATTAAAAAATAACAGGAAACATACATGAGATTAATACAAACATTGATAATGTAAATGTACTTCCCAGGGTAGAATATAAAATTTTCCCTAAACTTTCTTTCCAGCAGCCTTATGAATTAATTGGTATTTGATTGATTGATTGACAACTCCAGTTATTAACTAAATTGAATCAGCTGGGAAACACTGCCTGGATTACTTCCTCAGAATTATTTCCGCACAGGGACTATATGATTGAAGGTAATCAAATAGACTCAAGAAGGAATTAAATTCTTTAAAGTCACTTAGGCTTTTAATTTTTTCCCTCCTTTTTTCTTGTTGTTTAATAATTGAATACTCATTTTAAAAATGTGTTATTGATATATTTAAGGAATTAAATGTCATGAACTAATACTACCTGTAACAAGAGGAAGAAATTGTTATTGAAAGAAGGGAAATAAAAAGAACAAGTTCTGCAAGACTACTTTTGTGCCTGTTTGTTTGGTTAATTCTGGTAAGGGAGACATATATGTCTTACAATCATTGTATATACATTGAATTTATATGCATATTCCTTTAAAATGCTATTTCATATTTCTGTGTCTCCACTTTCTGTTTAAGATCCATCTAGTTTCTCCTGGACAGGAACTTAAAACAGAAACATCTTGCAAAACTGGCTTGAGTGGGTGATGCTAAGTATACAAATAGCAGGGAGTGCTGTCTAACTAACAAGAAAGTTTAGTTTGCCAGAATTCTATTCATATCAAAGAATCTCAGAAATAGTTAGAAAGTCTGTTTTGGTAGCTGCTTACTACCTTTACGATCATAAGTAGTTTCAGGTTCTATGGTTGCTGCTTTTACCAGTAGCATCTGTGCTTCCTATTTGGTGTTTTTGAAGATTTTTGTCAGGTATTAAATAGATTGATTTCATCTTAAAAAACTTAATAGCATAGCCCAATAAATCTTTTCCTAGATGCTACTTAGTGGCCCATTCCTACTTCCCGTTATGCACGTGGTCTTGATAAGGTTGCCCCATTCAATTAATTTGTGCTTAGTAGGGAGGACACTTGAGCGCAGTTGGGACCAGTGTCTGTCAGATAAATAAATATGAATTCCTAATTAGGCAGAGTGAGAATGCCCAGAATGATTTATCATCATAACCATTCCCAAAACAGGGTTGAGGTCTTATGGGGAGGCCTTACTCCGTTGTTTGTGATCAACCCCAGCTGGCACACAAGCCCTCAGAGTCTGCAATGATGCCTTCTCAAAGTACATTCAAGTACTTGCACTTAAATCAACAGAGTAAAAAAATGTCAATTTTAAAAGAGATTATCATTTAAATGGTCTGTTGGAAAAACTACAGCAACATTGCTCCTCTCAAAGAAGAATGCTGAAAGGATAATTAGACATCAGCAGAATACCAACACATTACTGGGAAAAAGAAAGGGCAGAGGAACTTCTAAAATTTACTGAAATAAAAATCAGCACAGGGACCTAGACCTTCATTAGAACCGAGGGATGAGATGAACTACTAACGTTGATGAACAGCAGTATAAATGTTATACGGGTTCACAATATTCCTTGGGATTACTCAGGGAGTCAAAAATTGACACATTTTACATTTTCTTTTGTATTTAAAATAGCCAATAAAATTCATTTTGCTAACATATACTTAAATCAATATGCATGTTGCAAGAAGCCAAGTTCAAGGGCACAATTTAGCATAAATCATGTGTTAGTTGTTGCTACTGTTAACAGTCATCTCTTTTTTCCTGGGGTCAGAGCCAATTAAGAGACATATAGAAGCCTGGGAACGATCAAAATACCGGCTTTATGACTTATCAAAGCCAGATGGAAGAATAGGGTTTTATATGTGGGCTAAAGGGGATACTAATTTCTCCCCTGTGAACTGAAGTGAGTTCCGTACACTGCGCGGGGTTGCACCTGCTTGGGAACTGGAGGAGAGCAAGGAGAGTGGGGTGCTGCCCCCTAGCGGAGGGCCCCGGTGCACACAGGCGACAACAGCCACAGACCCACCGCCCTCCTGCTTCATCTCCTTTGGTAATTCATGAGACAGTTTCCTGGGAAGTCCCATGTTTAATTTTCATCGTGATTGACTCTGAAACAGTATTCTCTGTGTAGCCATGAGGAAATGAGAATTTGTTTCTTATAGTTCTCCACTGAACTACTTTACCATTTCTGATTGAACCAATTCCTTATTTTCCCCTCGTAACTAACACCCACTCGCCTCCAGGTTAAAGTTTTCCTTACTTGGCAAAATCAGATACTAAATAAAATATGATAAAAATAAATCAAAACTCTTGCTTATCCTTACAGAGTTGCACAATTTCTATCTTGAATATGACAGGCACAGTCTCAGGATTTTCTTGCTCTGATTCAAATACAAAGTGAGTAGCTGGTTTATGGCCCAGCAGGAGCCAAGGGCGACCCACCTACCTCCTAATCTAGAGCTCTTCCCACTTCTCAGCACTTGCTGCATAAGACCTTAAGATGCAGAGTCTCACAGAGCAGTTGCGAGTGCACTGTGGAGGCAGGTGGCTATGAGTTTGGATTTCAGCTCTGCTCTGACTTGCCTTCTGACTTTGAGAGAGGTTATGACCTTCCTGGGCCTCCAGTGCTTCATGGGCAAAATGCAGACCACAGCATTTCTGTTGCAATATTGCTGTATTTAAATGAGATTATGTGTTTGAAATGCATCTTGCTGTGCTTGGGGTAGCTTAGCACTAATAAGTGCTGGCATGACCCATTGTTAAGTTGCACTTACCCACAGTATGAATAAAAATAGTTTAATTTTACACAAGTTGTAAATGAAAAGAGAATGAGTGTGTAAACCATTTGAAAAGATAACTTCAGTTACATGGCTTCTTCCTAGAAACCAGCCGTCGGCAGAAGCGATCTATCAACACCTTCTTTCTTTTCTCATTTCTGGTTTGGTTTCTGGCTGCTCTGCCTCATTTTTCCCTTTTGTGACTGCCTTGTGTCCCTGTGAGACGACTGGGGCTCCAATCTTGTCTCCCTCTGTCCAACCACAGCTACCTTTCTTCGTCCTCACAGCCTGATGTCATGATAAGGGGAGTAACTTACCCCTTCCACATGTAACAGAAA